ATATAATATAATATAACTCTATCTCTGAGCATCTTCTCTTTGTACAGTATAAAACAAAAACAAAAAAGTTTGCGGAATTCAAAATCTTTTTTCGCGCATTTTAAAAATTTTACAAAATAAAAAACTTTTAAACACAAATTTTTAAAGTTTGGATCAGTCCCACTCACCTTCCCTGGGTCACGTGAGGTCCCACACAAAATTTGGACCCGATCGGTTCAGCCGTTTATTGGATACAAACAAACAAACAAACACCCACCCAGTCAAGCTAAATTTATATATAGATGTCAGCTGGCCAAACGGCTGGACCGATTTTTGGGGGAAACTCATAGGTATCTCGAGGGTAACATAGGCTAAAAAATAGATTTTTTTCTTCAAAAATTAAATTTTTGTTGTCTAAATTCTAATTTTTTTGTATTTTACAAGCAACGCTGGGCAGCTAGTGTTTTATATCGCTGAAGTTTTGCTTTTTGTTATATATATCTTATGTCTAGTGTTTTCTGAACTCAAATTTTGTGTGTAATGGAGCTAAATTGCATTGCTTAATCTCATCATCCACTTTGACCACTTTTAATTTGAGAAATTAGTGGTTGATTTCTTCATTTTACTATCTTGAGCTTGTCCTCACGATCTGGTCTACACATTGCCATGGCTCGACAGGAAAACCCTGAGAGGTATAGTGTGGTGTGTTCCCCTCTTTGAAGGAATATAAGCGCTAATTAACCGAAATAATTTAATAATAATAATGCAGGATACAAATACAATCACTAAAGTCTTCACAAGATGGAGATCAATGATTGATCCCAACTAAAGTTCTGACAATGTTTCTATTCTGTAAATTTTTATGCAATTAGTTTAAAGCACGCAAAAATATGAAAATATTTAATACGTAACAAACATGAAATTATTCAAATATAAAACAAATGTTCCTTCACAACTATGACAGTGTACAGCTTGACATTAGAGATTCCTTTCTTTTTTCCTTTTCCTCTTTGATTTTCTTTTTTCTTCTTGTTTATTGCCTCTAGAAACGCTTTGAGACCTCTCTAAATAGTTCTTGTGACATCGAGTTGTGGAGCAGGTAGGAGAGAGATTAAGAGGTTTCTACCATGTTCTCATCCAACAAGTATGTAAAATGTATATGCATTATCAATGTTCTCATAATCACGCATATACAGTTCTAGATATTTTATCGTAATTTGTGGGTATTTCAACTTATAAGGGTAGATTCAGAATGGTATAACGGTTACAGATAGCAAATAAATCCTCCTCCAGAGGTCACAAAATATAAATGTCCTCTGGAATAGGTATTCATAGTAACACAGATTGAAACGTAAAACGATTTTTTCAGTTTTTTGTTTTAAAAACGGAAAACAAATTTTTTAAGTTCTTCGTTTTAAAACGAAAAATAAATTTTTAAGGATTTACGTTTTAAAACGATAAACGATTGTCTGTTTGTTTGTATCCAATAAACGTAAAAACGGCTGAACCGATCGGGTCCAAATTTTTTCTTGGACATCACGTGACTACTGGGAAGGTTTATGAATGATAAAAATAAATAAAAAATGTGTTTTAAAGGTTTTAATTTTGTAAAAAAATTAAATTCTTGAAAATCCGCGAATTTTTTTTAATCCGCAAAATTTTTTCTTCTTGTTTTAAAATGTAAACAAAAAGAACATGTTCACAATTTAAATAGAAGATGGGCGCGAAGCGCCCTAAAAGCCTAGTATTACTTAAATATCAGAGGCTGTTAAGTAACATAACATCCTGCCATATTAAATATCACGGGTTGTTAAGTAACATAACATCCTGCTATATTACTAAAATTTCAGGGGCTGTTAAGTAACATAACATCCTGCCATATTACTTAAAATATCAGGGGCTGTTAAGTAACATAACACCCTGCCATATTACTTAAAAAACTATATCATAATAAAATTAGTTAATCTGTCAAGAAAACTGTAAACTGAGAATTAAAAACTGCAGTAAACCGACCATCTCACATTTGATCAGACAAAATTACATACAGGGTTACCCACGGCCACAAAAGGTGAGACTTCAGAGACGACTTTCTTTGTCTTTTGTGAAATCATCTAATGTGTCATTTAAAAACAACACGTAAAGACATATATTCGAATTGAAACTTGTTATCGCTAAACCAAAATAGTTGTATGTCGTAATTAAAGTCTCATCCTTTGCGGGTCCCTCCCTGTAGCATGCCCATAAGGAGACCATTAAGACAACAGGTGTATAATAATAATAAATAATATGTCCTGGCAAGTGCATACTACTAGACATACTAAACTACGATGAATGACAAAAACCAGACGGAGAATGATTTGCCGTTAAAGGACCGACGATGACCCCGCCCCGATAAGTTACATAAGTAACTATAGCTCTTGGAGAATAAAAAATAAATTTCAAATAATCGTAAAATCTTAAATTCTAAATTCATAATGAACCAATTCTACATAAAAATAAAACTATTTTTGAAATTTTTACCCTCTCCCCCTAAATATGTTTTTATCACCCACCCACGCTTGATATACAGAGCGTCCCATATCATATTAGATTATCTCAAATCTTTAACGACAAAATAAACCCTTAATACTCGAAGAACTTATCATTTTCCGCAAGAAAATTCTTATATAAGCCTTATGTTATTTTTCAAATTGATTTATTCGAATTTTCTTAATAGTCCCGAAAATCGCAATTTAGACCCGTTGACGGTCTGATATGATGTGGGACACCCTGTACAAGCAATGAATAATGCAATCATAGACAATTTAATTTACAGATGTAGTAGCTTGTTCTTGAAAGTAAATAATTAAACTTTCAGAAATTGGTTTTGAAAGAAAGTTCTTGCCATGAAAACTTTTTTTTGCACAGAAAATTTTGTAAATAAAACAAAAATATACAAAATATCTTTCTGAATGTGTTACGATGTGTAAAATATGAGAACAGAAAGCTTTAGAAGAATTATCATTAAACTT